TGGAGCAGCGTCCTGCGCCCCTCTCTACGGGGGCGCCGTGAGCCGGAGGGGATCTGGTCCCCCAAATCTCACCCAGCTTGAGAGCAAGGGGGTGAGGGTCTCGGAGCCCACTGGACTTTTTTTTAAACCCGACAAGGGCTTTTTAACGTCACCAGATGGGGCGGGAGGTGGTGGGGGTCAAGCCATGCCCGCGTCCCACCCCCACACCCGGGGCCGTGGCCCCCACATCACTGTGCAGCTCCCCGGCCCCAGCCACGCCTCCGGGGAAGCCCGTTTTTAACCTTTCATCCATCGGGACTCAAAACTGTGAGACGCGTTCGCCAAACTGTGACCCCAGACCTTGGCCCCGCCACACAAAAACCCCTGACCCCAGACTGTGACTTCCGACCCCTAAAAATGGTCATCCGACCCCAGACTGTGACCCCTGACCCCAAACTGTGACCCGAGCCCCAGACTGCCCCGACCAGACTGTGACCCTTGACGTCAAACCGTGACATCCCCTCCTCCTTTTCCACCCTCAGTAGCTTTTCCTTCTCTTGACCTAGGACACGCCCCCAACGGAAGCCCCGACTCCCTGCCCCAGAGTTGATCCCAACCTACATCAGGCCAAAACTTCCCACTCTGTGACACATCACCAACAGCCCCAGGTGCCACGAACCACATCCTCTCCAAATCCAACCCTTATTTGTGACCCTTCAGTGATGACCCAGTAAGACCCCCAAAAGCCTTCTCTTCCCAGATCTCCAGCCGGGTCTGGAGCTGGGTTGTGGAGGGGAGGGTCTGGGAGTCCACAATCACCACCAACCTCCCTTCCCCCTCTCCTGTTCCACATTGCAGTGTTTGGAATAAACCACGTTTTTATGCGTCCTCAATCCAAGTGTGAGCTCCATGTCTGTCTCTTAGTCCCCTTCAAACTTCTCTGGAGGACCTCAAAACTGAGAAAACTCCCACAGAGGAAGAGGGGACAGAAAGAGAATTTGAGCAAGAACAGAGAACCTGGAGGGAGGTGGGAGGTAAAGACCCAGAAAGTGGTGGTGAGAAAAGACCCTGAAAAGGGCTGAGAAGGGGTGGGGGCGGAAAGAGAAGGGGGGACAGAGAGTTCAAGAAAGGCCTAGGCTCAAAACATTCTAGGATCGAGTCTAAGGTCCCATTTCTATGGCAACAGGCAACGAGGCTTGCTGGGTTCTTTATAGCCTGTTCATGCAAGCGAGGAGAGTGTCTGTTACATCCCAGCCAATCCACATATCTCTGATGCCGTTAACCTCACCAATGCGAATCTATTTCTAACATTTCATTACGCCAATTAGCCAAACCTCTGGTGCTGATGGGCGATAAAAAGAGCGGAAGCACTTATAATAGCTGCCCCCAGAGTGTGGACTTTCTGATTAAGTGCTTGCTGACCTTAGCTGCAGTGCGAACGCCTGGTTAGGCAACTGACTGCCCCTAGAGGGTAGATTCAACCGACTCATTTACATAATATCATCCTGCCTACACTTAAGCATTTTGAAGTAAATTAAAGCCTTCATAACAAGGAGGGGAGAAGAAACAGGCTTTATGGGTCCTCGGGGAGCAGAAACCCAGTCTCCTAGCCAGTAAAAGGTCTTATTTGCATACACGAATAATTAATTAAGTGGAAAGAAAGCACTGGGAGTCAAAGGTGGAAGATGGAGTCAGGGCTTGGAACGCCTCCAGTTGATGGAGCGAACAGGACTCCTGCAGAACTACAACTCCCAGGAAGCCTTGCCGCTGCTCTGCGGAAGAGCACCCCAAAGTCATGGGGAGGGTGTACTTTCTGGGGATCGGCAGGCTTCTATAGCCAGGCCAGGACGCTGTTACCTTAGTTTTCCTTCACCCTCCTCCCTGTCGCCCTCTCTAATTGGTGAAGCAGGAAGTTTCCAGGGTAACCGCGCAGTAGGGCGCGTCTCATAAGAAGGCAAGCGCAACCCGGAAATGACGCTCTTAGCTCGCGCCGGCGGCGAGAGAGTTCGAAGATGGCGACGCGCAAGGGTCGGCGGCGCACGTGTGAAACTGGGGAACCTATGGAGGCCGAGTCCCACGACGGAGTGTCCGAGGGCAGGGCTCAGGTCTACCTGCCCGGCCGGGGACCGCCGCTGCGGGAAGGAGAGGAGCTGGTCATGGACGAGGAAGCCTACGTGCTGTACCACCGAGCACAGACTGGTAGGGCTGGGCACCCGGACTCCTGGGTCCTGGGGAAGGAGGGAAATGGAATCCTGGGTCCTGAGGGGAGCTGGTTCTGAGCCTTTAACTTAACAGGCTCTCTAAAAGAGAAGACTGGGGACTAAGAGGGTTGACATCACACTCGAGAGGGTTGAGATCCCTCTATCCCATCCTAGTTTTCCAACCCCTTCCTCCATTCCCCAGGCTCCCCCTGTCTCAGCTTCGACATAGTCCGAGATAACCTGGGAGACAATCGGACTGAGCTTCCTCTTACACTTTACCTGTGTGCTGGAACCCAAGCGGAGAGCGCCCAAAGCAACAGGTAAGTAAGAACTGAGGCTTTCGCAGGACTAGACGTCTGAGCTTCCAGCTCCTCCTTCCTCGAGACCTAGAAGTTGTGGTTTCCAGCCTCTCTTCCTTTCTGAGGATCCTGGCATCTAGTGCCTCATTCATCCCACACTTCCCCCAGATTGATGGTGCTTCGGATGCATAATCTGCATGGGACGAAGCCTCCACCATCAGAGGGCAGTGATGAAGAGGACGAGGAGGAGGACGATGAAGAGGATGAAGAAGAGAGGAAGCCTCAGCTGGAGCTGGCTATGGTGCCCCATTATGGCGGCATCAACAGAGTTCGGGTAAACACAGCCCGGGGAGCCTGCCCTACATTCTCTGGAGCACAGCCCCACATCCATACCCTTCAGCTTTTAGAAAAGCACCTGGCATATAGTTTTATATATTAGTTTATAAATGTCTTAACTATTATGAGCATTGTCACTAGGTGCTAGATGCCACGGGGATATTTTTTAATGTTATTTTTTCTTTGTAAATGGTGATAGTTACAGAACTTCCCTGGTGGGGCTGATGTGAGGATAAAATGG